TATTTATACTATAGTCGCACCGGTAGTGACGTCATGGCTGTCGCCGGCCAACGAGTTGGTGTTTTTTCAATGTATGCTTCAGACACGGGTCACGACGAGGCGTTCCCCATAGCGACCCCTAGAGGACGCAGTTCGAAGTTCCCATGAAAGGGAACAGCTCCATAGTTTGCTTGGGAAATGTCAAATCTCTATAGGTAAGTCTCTCTGTAAGGTAGCTGAAGCTCCATATAGAATATAAAAGACAAAATCAGAAGTGACTTCCGAGAACAGAAAACAATTCTACTGAAAACAGTTTTCCCATATTGAGACTCTGGTCTGGTTAATACTGCTGTACTTACACAGATGCTGTTTAGCATGTCTGAGCAGTATTATTGAAGATGTCGTGTATTGCTCAGATGCAGGGACAAATTCTTAAGCATTTAATGGATTGGTGATGAAACATGTTGTTCACGCTGCTTTATTGGTCTCTTTTGTTATGTTCCACAGTAGTCACTGCAGTCAAGGTCTCAATCCCACTATATCTAACACCTTTCATCAGCCAGACATTCTGCGAACCAGGCCACAGTCAGATTGAAAAGGGCAACGTAGGTTACTCAAATCCATGACATGAATTAGGATTTATATATATATAAGATGTTTAAGATGCTTTAATTGCATTGCACAGGCTCTTCTCAACAAAGAAAACACCTACAGTATGCAGACGTCAAAGCCAAGTGGAAAAGACGTATTGTGTAGCTGGATTCGTCATATGGCATATTGTGAAAGCAGTAGATGAGTTTCACACTTCCTTCAACACTTTAATACTGCTTCCTGTATATTTAGAATAGTTTAGAGGTTGAAGGACACAGCCCACACACAAAACGTTTGTCACTCAGCTGCCATCTTGATAACATCCCCAGAAAACTATTTTCACGCATGCAGAAGTACAACTTCTGTCTGCTTGAACTGAGAAAAACCCAAATCCGTTTGACAAGTATTTACTGAAAGCCATCAAAAGTTTATGATTTTTAAGATAACCTTCACAGATGAACTCAACTTTCCCATGACGTCCAATGCGTACATCAGAATTTGTAGCTTATCAAGGTATTTTCTGGGTTGTATGAATACTGTAGTGGTATTTGGACACACTAATTACGCTATTTTGTTTGCTTCCCATAGAATCCATGGAATGTTATCTGGAGACCTCTGTTGATTACGAACTTACCTACACTTCTTGAATAAGACTCTGCGAACATGAGGTTAGAAAGATGAACATGTCTGAGGAGCAAATAAACTGCACTATAAGCCACGAGATTCACCAGTACCTGTTTTCGGGTGCGTACATCCTTGTCCTGCTAGTGGGTCTTCCCGCCAACGCTTACTCGCTCTACCATGCCTGTCTCCAACTGAAAGCCCGCAATGAGCTGGGGGTCTACTTGCTAAACTTGACCATATCTGATCTGCTGTACCTGGCCTCCCTGCCCCTTTGGCTCCAGTATATCTTCCAAGGGGACAACTGGAGCGGCTCGGAGTGGCTCTGTCAACTGTGTGGTTTCCTGCTCTACGAGAACATCTACGTCAGCATTGGTTTTCTGTGTTGTATCTCCATTGACCGTTACCTGGCGGTGGTCTACCCTTTCCGCTTCTCGGCTTTCCGAACGGTACGAGCAGCAGCGCTGGTCAGTACGGTGGTCTGGCTCAAAGAGCTTGCCGTAGGAGTGGTGTTCTTCCGGCACAAGGAGCTCAGCAGGGACAAGCACAACCAATCTGTGTGCTTTGAGCACTATCCCATGAAGACATGGGAGTACCCAATAAACTACTACCGCTTTTACATAGGTTTCCTGTTTCCTTTAGGAATCCTGTCCGTGTCGTACTTTAGAGTTCTCCGAGCAGTGGGCAAGAGTGCAGGCACGCAGACAGCCCAGAAAACTCGCATCAAGTACCTTGTGACCAGCACCATCGTCATCTTCCTGGTTTGCTTCTCACCATACCACGTCTTCCTGCTGGTACGCACCATATTGGAGCGGGACTGCGACTTCATTGAGAACATTTTCAACTACTACCATTTCTCTCTGTTGCTTACTAGTTTTAACTGCGTGGCCGATCCGGCGCTCTACTGTTTTATCAGTGAGAGTGCCCAAAAGGGCATCCAGAAGGCTCAGGAAGCTTGCACTCGGGTCTTATGCTGTTGCTCAAAAAGCCATGGAAGGTTCAACACGCACTCTACTGAGCTTGCAGTCACCAATGATAATGTTACAGGTACCTCAGCAGTGACACTCTTGCAGCAGATCAAAACTGATGTTTGAACATTTTTGTTGTATTATCTATACAATGGACATCATACAGTTTAGCTACAGGCTCTTCAGTGGACAAAGGAAGCATCATAGATGTACAGCTGCATATTATTTTTTTATTTTGCACTGGTTAGAACATTAGCCTACTTTGTCAGAGTCAGTCCTGTATTTTGTTCTAAAGTTAAATTGTAATATTTCATGGTTTCGGTAAGCTAGCATGCTACTGTTATGTGGTGTAATGCTCAGGGATTGCTACCTTGAAAATCACCAGTGGTTAACATTTGAGGTTTTAGGAACCGATGAGCTAAACATTTTCTGTACTGTTCTAAGTCCCTTTAGCTACATGTGCATGTAGCAGCTAAAAATCTCTGTCCAAGACTAAAACCATTTCTGCTTTCAAACCTCATAGGTTTCCAGTTCCTTTAATACTGTACTTCACCCAAAAATGACAATTCCGTCGTCATTTACTCACCCTAATGTTATGGCCCTATGGACAATAACAGCATGAAATTTTGTGTTCCATGATAGAAATTAAGTCATTAAGTTTGGAACATCATGAAGGTGATCTAAATGATAATAGATTTTTATTTTTATTTTGGGGTGAACCTTTCCTCTAAGAAAACAAAAGCAATGAAGCTGTATCTTTGTTGCCTATACTCACCTTTTACATGGACAGACATGGAGCACACAGACATCTGACAAGTAGAAAAGGTACACGGTGTGGGTATGAAGGGTCAAACATCTCCAAACAGACCATTTTAACCCACTTTGATTTCATATCCTGGGAAATTAGATGAGGAAGAAGTGATTGATGGTTATTTTCAGAAATCATGGATCTTCTGTTTGCTCAAACCGCTGAGGTACAGTGGGTACGGAAAGCATTCAGACCCCCTTAAATTTTTCACTCTTTGTTATATTGCAGCCATTTGCTAAAATCATTTGTTAATTTTTTTTCCTCATTAATGTACACACAGCACCCCATATTGACAGAAAAACACAGAATCGTTGACATTTTTGCAGATTTATTAAAAAAGAAAAACTGAAATATCACATGGTCCTAAGTATTCAGACCCTTTGCTCAGTATTTAGTAGAAGCACCCTTTTGATCTAATACAGCCATGAGTCTTTTTGGGAAAGATGCAACAAGTTTTTCACACCTGGATTTGGGGATCCTCTGCCATTCCTCCTTGCAGATCCTCTCCAGTTCTGTCAGGTTGGATGGTAAACGTTGGTGGACAGCCATTTTTAGGTCTCTCCAGAGATGCTCAATTGGGTTTAAGTCAGGGCTCTGGCTGGGCCATTCAAGAACAGTCACAGAGTTGTTGTGAAGTCAATCCCACTATATCTAACACCTTTCATCAGCCAGACATTCTGCGAACCAGGCCACGGTCAGATTGAAAAGGGCAACGTAGGTTACTCAAATCCATGACATGAATTAGGATTTATATATATATAAGATGTTTAAGATGCTTTAATTGCATTGCACAGGCTCTTCTCAACAAAGAAAACACCTACAGTATGCAGACGTCAAAGCCAAGTGGAAAAGACGTATTGTGTAGCTGGATTCGTCATATGGCATATTGTGAAAGCAGTAGATGAGTTTCACACTTCCTTCAACACTTTAATACTGCTTCCTGTATATTTAGAATAGTTTAGAGGTTGAAGGACACAGCCCACACACAAAACGTTTGTCACTCAGCTGCCATCTTGATAACATCCCCAGAAAACTATTTTCACGCATGCAGAAGTACAACTTCTGTCTGCTTGAACTGAGAAAAACCCAAATCCGTTTGACAAGTATTTACTGAAAGCCATCAAAAGTTTATGATTTTTAAGATAACCTTCACAGATGAACTCAACTTTCCCATGACGTCCAATGCGTACATCAGAATTTGTAGCTTATCAAGGTATTTTCTGGGTTGTATGAATACTGTAGTGGTATTTGGACACACTAATTACGCTATTTTGTTTGCTTCCCATAGAATCCATGGAATGTTATCTGGAGACCTCTGTTGATTACGAACTTACCTACACTTCTTGAATAAGACTCTGCGAACATGAGGTTAGAAAGATGAACATGTCTGAGGAGCAAATAAACTGCACTATAAGCCACGAGATTCACCAGTACCTGTTTTCGGGTGCGTACATCCTTGTCCTGCTAGTGGGTCTTCCCGCCAACGCTTACTCGCTCTACCATGCCTGTCTCCAACTGAAAGCCCGCAATGAGCTGGGGGTCTACTTGCTAAACTTGACCATATCTGATCTGCTGTACCTGGCCTCCCTGCCCCTTTGGCTCCAGTATATCTTCCAAGGGGACAACTGGAGCGGCTCGGAGTGGCTCTGTCAACTGTGTGGTTTCCTGCTCTACGAGAACATCTACGTCAGCATTGGTTTTCTGTGTTGTATCTCCATTGACCGTTACCTGGCGGTGGTCTACCCTTTCCGCTTCTCGGCTTTCCGAACGGTACGAGCAGCAGCGCTGGTCAGTACGGTGGTCTGGCTCAAAGAGCTTGCCGTAGGAGTGGTGTTCTTCCGGCACAAGGAGCTCAGCAGGGACAAGCACAACCAATCTGTGTGCTTTGAGCACTATCCCATGAAGACATGGGAGTACCCAATAAACTACTACCGCTTTTACATAGGTTTCCTGTTCCCTTTAGGAATCCTGTCCGTGTCGTACTTTAGAGTTCTCCGAGCAGTGGGCAAGAGTGCAGGCACGCAGACAGCCCAGAAAACTCGCATCAAGTACCTTGTGACCAGCACCATCGTCATCTTCCTGGTTTGTTTCTCACCATACCACGTCTTCCTGCTGGTACGCACCATATTGGAGCGGGACTGCGACTTCATTGAGAACATTTTCAACTACTACCATTTCTCTCTGTTGCTTACTAGTTTTAACTGCGTGGCCGATCCGGCGCTCTACTGTTTTATCAGTGAGAGTGCCCAAAAGGGCATCCAGAAGGCTCAGGAAGCTTGCACTCGGGTCTTATGCTGTTGCTCAAAAAGCCATGGAAGGTTCAACACGCACTCTACTGAGCTTGCAGTCACCAATGATAATGTTACAGGTACCTCAGTGGTAACACTCTTGCAGCAGGTCAAAACTGACGTTTAAACATTTTTGTTGTATTAGTTATCTATACAATGGACATCATACCGTTTAGCCACAGGCTCCTCAGATGTACTGCTGCTGCATACTGTTTTTCATTTTGCATGGGTTAGAAGTTAGAACATTAACCTACTTTGTCAGAGCCAGTCCTGTATTTTGTTCTAAAATTAAACTACAATATTTCATGGTTTTGGTAAGCTAACATGCTACTGTTATGTGGTGTAATTCTCAGGGATTGCTACCTTTATAATCACCAGTGGTTGACATTTGAGGTTTTAGGAACCGATGAGCTAAAGAAGTCCCTTTAGCTACAGTACATGTGCATGTAACAGTTAAAACTGTGTCCAAAACTAAAACCAATTCTGCTTTCAAACCTCATTGGTTATAGTTCCTTTAATACTGTACTTCACCCAAAAATCACAATTCCGTCATCATTTACTCACCCTAATGGTTACGGCCTGTTGTTATCACTGCAAATCTCTTGTTGCAGACGCAAACTTCTAATGTCAGATTTAGCAATGAAGCATGAGAACCAGTGGCGTTTGGTTCATTGATGTCAAACCAGGTACAATACAAATTGATGAAAATGTATGGATGCTTAATTTGATATGCAGGGAGGGGAAGATTATCATTAAATATATAAATTGTGGTTGTATGGCTTTAGACGTTTCATGGACCAATGTGATGATACTTTTATGTTCTTTTTGGTGTTTAACAGTTCCTGCTTACAATATGCGCTTATTTTATGAAAAATAACAGCATGGAGTTTGGTATTCCACGATAGAAAATTAAAGTCATTCAGGTTTGGAACATCATGAAGGTGGGTAAATGATAACAGAATTTTCATTTTGGGGTGAACCTTTCCTCTAAGGAAACAATAGCAATGAAGCTGTATATTTGTTTGCCTACTCACCTTTTACATGGTTAGACATGGAGCACACAGACAGTTAACAAGCAGAAAAAGGTACGCAGTGTGGGTGTGAAGGGTCAACCACCTCCAAACAGACCATTTTAACCTGGACAGCTTCCCAGTGTGATTTCATATCCTGGGAAAATAGATGAGGAAGAAGTGATTGATGGTTGCTTCCAGAAATCATGTATCTTCTGTTTGCTCAAACCGCTGAGGTAAAAGGTTTGGTGCAGTGTTTATATTTTTAGATGATGGAAGTGATCACAGCTAATACAAGGAGTTTAAATGAATGACCTGAACTGAAAGAACAGACATGTGGAAGTGTTCTCTTTTTCCTGCTCATTCAAACCATGTTTACAATGAATAATCAACATGCATGCAGATTGTATGTAGGCTATATGTAACTAAATCAAGATTGTTTTCAGGTTTTCATTGATTTTATATAGTGACTGCAGTTCAGGTTCATATATGGGACTTTTTATTATTGGTTGTGCACTCTGTTGTTTGTTGCACAAATCACTGGCAATGATTGTATTGTTGCACAGTACATGGAGACAGAAATGGTGCTGTGATGTATTGCAGGGGTGTAAAAAGTAGAGAGAAATTAATTTTGATTATAGGTACTGTGTTATCTAGTCCGATTTTTGTAAGATAGTATGTTCTCTCTAGATGTCTGTTAATTGAATTTTGGTTTTGTTTGGCTTGTTAGCCTCAAGGGCACAAAATACTGAAAATAATAGGTAAAGCAAACCCTTGCAGCAAATATATGATATATGTGGTGCAAAAATATGATTAAATCTGTGTTTCACTTCCTCTCTCTCTACTAGCCAGACATCTGGCTTTCTTGTCTGCATACTTTGTGCATTAAAATGATCTAATTTCTCCAACTATTAATAATAATATTTTCTTTTATAATATTAAAGACGAAAACCTGTCCCATATGAATAATAAAAATAGGTCTGAATTATTAATAAATTAGGACAGAATTATCCCTTTAATGCAAACAGGAGACGGTAATCAATTCCCCTTAAAAAAAAAAAGATTGCTCAGAGAAACGCTTTCATCTTATGCTAGTCCTTTTTGTTTAATCGTGGTCTTTCTTGGCTGTCTTTCTTTGGTTTTGATTATTTAACTCTACTGGAAGCAGAATTGTGACATTAAACAAAGGTGCATAAACAGAAGCCTAAATACAGATGGGATTGATTAGTATAAAGTCATATTCCCAGTAAAAACATATCCAGCATGGTTTTAAAAGAAATTGAGAGATTGGCCTATTTATTTTATTTTCATACTTGTTAATCCGGTCCCAGAGAAATGTTTAATACTTTCAGGTGTAACCAGAGCCAGACTAATTAAAAGTCTGCTGTTTATTTGACTTTATGATTAAGGGTTTTGGGATGGTCTTCTCCAGTGTTGATTTTGGTTGAACCTTGGAAGAGAGGAAGACGCTTAACTCTAAAAAGGTCAGTGATAATAAACAAATTGCCAAATAACATGAATGTGTTATGTAACATGGATCTGAACTAAAACAGCTGTCTGTACTCTCCGATACACGCAAGTTGTGTAATACCATGGTATTTTTTTTTTTATTTCCTTGGAGTACAACATGAATATTATGGTATGAATATAATGTATGGATCAAGTACCTAAAATCACAATAACCATAATAAAGTACCACCAAAGAATGTAACCAAATATGCCTATTAATTAGATTTAATCAGAACTGCAGCTTCCTACAGAACTTGAGCCTTTCTATCGCCTTCTGTGGTTAAAAATAAAATTGCATTGGTTTGAAGTAGTAATCATATGGCCATTAAAAAAAAATGGATCACAGTACAAACCATACTGATAGTAGTAAAAATGTTCAACGTATATCAGAAAAAAAGTAATATGAGCAATAAGTAGCCTACTGTATCATATCCGTTGTGGGTTCTTATTTTGTTTTGATTGGGGTTTTGTCACTTTACCATATCTCTGCAGTTCGAAGTTTCAGTTTTGACAAATGGGTGATTCTTCACAGATTTGCCGTTTTCCGTCCATGTTTAATGATAGCTAGCTGACCAGACAAAATCTACACATTAGCCTATGTATTGTTGTAATACGCCACAAAAGATACAGTTGCCGCCAAGCCGGATACTCACGTGACGTAACATGGTTCCCGCGAAATCTGACCCGACAGTGTAAAATGTGAATCATTATAGGCTTATATTTTTTATTATTTTTATGTACTAGTGTAATAATAGTAGTTCATTAATCTTTAAACACAAAATCTTCGATAACGCAGCTTTAAAAACCCATATTGTTGACTGAATAATCAGTAGGACATGTCCCTCAGGGTACAATATTTGTAATATCTGGAAATTAACCGTTTATTTTTTTATTCAAATACTGCATATAGGAAGAAATAGGCAACAAAGTGAAAAAGCAACATAGATTGTTTAATAAGGTGAGAGCACAAAAATTAAACACTACTTTGTAGATTGTCATAAAGAATCAGCAAAATGTTACAATGGCAGCTCTTTCTATTACATTCCCATATTCATTTTCATCTGTGAGAATGAGTGAGAATATACAAACAAGCTCAAATCAATTCTGACTCTGGTCACAGATGTGCGTCTTGGTTCCTGTGGCTATGTGATGTGTCCGTGATGTAGGCCGCACTATGACATCAGGCAAGGGTGAGATTTCTAAGCTGCTGTATGATGTCAGAATGGTAGGGGTGAAAGGTCAATCCATCCACCTCCAGTCCAAGGTTTGCCGTTTTACCGCTGCGGACGCCATATTTAACCAAAATGTGGAGCATCTCTTCCTCCTGTTTTTCAAATAGAAGCACCACATCAAGTCGTTTTTGTCTTTGCAGCTGGATTTTCTGTCTTCAATCTTTGGTAATGCATTCAGTGGTAATGGTCTTTTATTTTAAGCCACATGTGGGAGTGGGAATTTTAAAAACAGGAAAAGTGTTATTAAAGCCTCCACTGAGGAGAAACAACATGATGGACACAGAAAATATTTAGGCTAACAGAAAAGAATGTGAATACAGGGTTAACAGGCTGGTTCCAGCCATTGTGGCCGTGATAATTATAACGTACACTGGCAGAGGTTCTGAAGTGGTCTGCAGTTCACCGCAAATATAAAAATGGCCAGTGTTGACTGGAAGCAGCACTGCGAAGCGCCTGCAAGTTTTATACCAGTGGATTTCCACTGAAAATAAAATGGGGCACAAAGTTAACAGCATGAGGTGATATTATGAGGTGCTTAAACTCTTCCAGAAGACACCCTTAAGCCGCAATGCAAAACGTTTTTGAGAAGAACAGATGTTTTAATGTAATGTAGGACTGAACTTAGCCACCATAATCATCAGCCATCATCTATTTTTGATAATACTCATGTATACCTTGGCTACAGTGGGCAGGCAGGCCATCCACAGGCTCTGTTGATCAGGCGTCAGTGACAGACCCAAACCACTGTGGAGGTACCGCCAGTGTATTGGGCAGAGATTGAGAACATACAGAGCACAGGCGACAGCATAGCCACCCCAGTTAGACACTCCTACACAGGAAGCGGACGTTAGGTATGCTAAGAAAAGTTCATGGTACACTATTGTGGTGCAAATACAAGCTTTTGTAGAAACCAAAATAATATACACTCTTCCAATCAAAAAGTTTGGAATAATTACGATTTTCTTTTAAAAATGTTTTTAAAAGAAGTCTCTTATGTTCACCAAGGTTACACTTACTGTATTTGATCAAAATATAAATAAAAACAGTAATATTTTGAAATATTATTACAATTTAAAGTAACTTCTATTTTAATATATGTTAAAATTATATTTAGTCTTGTGACTGCAAAGCTTAATTTTCAGCAGCCATTACGCTAGCATTTTTCACAATATACTACCATTCAAAAGTTTGGGGTAAGATTTAAAACGAGAAAAGAAAAGAAAAGAAATGAATACTGTTACTCAACAAGGATGCATTAAATTGATCAAAGGTGATAGAAAATAGATTTTTAATGTTAATACAAATTTCAAATAAATGGTGTTCATTGAACTATATATTCATCAAAAAATCCTGAAAAAAGTTATATATTGATAGAAATATTAAGCAGAACATTTTCAACATTAATATTATTATTATCCATTATTAATAACCGAAGACCAAATCAGCATAACAATTGTTTCTGAAAGATTATGTGACACTGAAGAAAATTAAATAAATTAAATACATTTTTATTAAATAAATGCAGCCTTGGCAAGAATAAGAGACAATTAAATAAAAAAAACAATAATCCAAACTTTTGACCAATAGTGTATTTCAATTGTAAAATGCTAAAATAAATATCACACATACATGAAAATAAATAAATAAAATTGCATAAATAAAGTTATTTGCATTGTTTTATATTAATTTTGCAGAAAATATTTTGAGTTACACACAGTACAAGATCTTTTAACTGTAAATGTGACATGCTAAACAGTCCCAACAGTCTCTAAATATATAGTCTCACGATTTATTTCCAGAACATGATGCATGATGGGATACACTAAGCCTCAAATAGCGCTCCGGAGTGGTATTCGAGATAGTGTGGATTTAGTGTGCGTTAAGGGCACTGCGCTCTGGCGTTTTTAAGACCTGGGACAGTCTTGCGCACTTACTTCCTGTCGCGCGCACGCGCTCTCAAGTGGCCAAGACCGCAAGTGTGGGTATTTGGACAAGGGGTTTGTCAAATAACATCTCTGATCCACTTCCTATGATATCGGAAACGAACATTCTTCCTTTAGCCCCCTTAATAAGAAACAAGTAGGTGTAATGTGAAACTTAGTACCACTGTGTGACCACATAAGTTGTGTTTAGGTGCAACGTGCTTATTTTCAGCTAGCAGGAAGCATGTAGGCACATTATGTGGTTTCTGTGTGTGGTGCGCTTACCTGCTGTGATGGCAAAATCAGCAGCCACGTCACACGCAATCAGATTTCCATTAGGCATGTATGCTTTAACGGCTGCTTTGACTTTGCCCATACCAAGCTCATTACCTCCATCCCCGATCCCTGTACACACACACGTACACACACAATTAATCCTGTTCCAAAGAGGTGACATATCTCATTAAACCGCTCCCTGGTGCCAACCAAACTTATCGTTAATTGGGAACAAAGTTGGTGATTCAAGCATTCATTGTGTTCGTTAAAAGAGATTAGGACATTGACTACATCATAGAGGGTACGGATAAAACCACAATCAAATATACTTCTATTTTTATTACACACTAACATTTGCTAATGTAAGTTAATCACAGTGGTTTGGAGCACTGAAGCTCTGGCTTTGTTACCTGTGGTAGTGATGCCCGCAATAGTGCTGGCAGTGGTGAAGAGGTCATCTATTGGGTCGACTAAATGCTTGATGTTCACCCCCCTCATGTTGTAGTAGTTCCCGTCGGTAGCCCGTCCACTGCGCTCTATTGCCACCAAGTGGTCAAACCTTTTTAGTATACATAATTTCAGTTCTGTCATGACAACTCTCGGAGGGATTGGCATGGTAATGTACATGACAATGTTAATGTATTTGGTCTTGGCGGAATAGATCTGCTACGCTGCTGCGGAAGAGCAAGTACCGAGACTTGCTCAGACTTACCAACAATCAGTTATACAGTTTAGCAGCCATTATACAAAGTTATACTACGGGGTTGTTGAATGCTTGAATCTGATTGGCTGACGAACATTCTAAGCTGTGCAATTATTTTCAGGGAAACACAGCTGAAAAAAAAAAAAAAGAGGCACTAAACTGTATGCATTTTCCATTGACGC